ACAAGCTTGAGACAGAGAAATCCCGCACATTATCAAACGACGTGAAGAAAAAGATGGATTGTGTTCTGTTTCGCGTCACTTTCCCGAGAAAATTTGATAAAGAAAGCGTACGAACAGAGGAAGTAACAGTTTTTTTTCTGGGGAAAAAGAAGAGAGAAAAAGATAAGATCTTTTGAGTTTCTGTGACTATTCAGGAGAACGAGTGAGCGAGAGGAACGAAAACAGAGAGAAACAGAGAATATAAAAGAACTGAGCCTAGGAACAAGAAGAAAGGGGCATTTTCGTAAATCGACATGAAAAGAAGGAGCGAACCTTTGTTCTGGGCTAGAAGGTTCCAAGCCTCATGTAGTGAGTCCACCACATTCGTTATATATTTAAGGGTTAACAGAATAATAATTACATATTTTTTTTTTTTTAGAAACAGAATATTTTCAAGTTTAATAACCATTCGTTAACTTTTCAAGTGGAGAAATTTTTGTATGTATATTATATGAAGATAATACTAGAAAAGCTTACAATATTTGATAACCCAAGGTACATAATTACCAACAAAAACCAAACCTAAAATCTCTGTTGGATTTTCAGACGAACCACAAAAGCGACAATTATTAATCAAAACATAGTAAAAAGGAGAAAAATATATGAAAAACTGTTGAGGATTCAGGGAAAAAATGATATGAAAAGCCAAGGAAGAGGCTTGTTTGTTTTAGGCAAGAGCAGGCATGTCCTTGAGCCACTGGTCCAATGGCTTCCCAATGGAGTAAACAATGAACCCAATCTTCCTCAGTTTATCTGCGTCCACGACGTTTCTACCGTCGAAAACAAACGCGGGTTTCTGCATATTCTCAAAGATTCGCTCGTAATCGAGATTCTTGAATTCATCCCACTCGGTTAAAATGCAGATACCGTGAGCGTCTTTGGTTGCAGTGTACGCGTCCCAAGCGACTGAGACTTGTTTCACGGTGGTGGGACTCATGGGCTGGAGGTGGAGAGGATGGTCCCAGTCGAATTTGTTCATGGTCAAGTCTCTTTGGATCTGGTCTTCAGTGACTTGTGGGTCGTAGATGCTAATACGTGCTTTGTCACCTAACAGACCTTTGCAGACATCAATGGCTGGAGTCTCTCTTGTGTCTCCTGTGTCTTTCTTGAAGGCAAAACCAAGAACCGCAATCTTTTTGTTGGAGACTGTGTTGAACATAGACGAGACAATGCGGTTAACAAATCTGGTTTTCTGGTAGTCGTTGATCTTGATGACTTGTTTCCAGTACTCAGCGACTTCCGGTAACCCGTTGCATTCACAGATGTAGACTAAGTTGAGGATATCTTTCTGGAAACAGGATCCGCCGAATCCGACACTTGAGTTCAAGAATTTGGGACCGATCCGAGAGTCTTTACCGACAGCGTAAGAGACCTCTGAGACATTGGCTCCGGTTGCTTCACAGAGAGCGGACATTGCATTGACTGACGAGATCCTCTGGGCTAAGAAGGCATTAGCTGCAAGCTTGGAGAGCTCGGCGGACCAGAGATTGGTGGTGATGATTCTGTCTTCAGGGACCCATTGGGAATAAACATCTTTCAAGGCTTTGACAGCTGCAAATCCTTCAGGTGTTTCACGACCACCGATGAGGACACGGTCAGGCTCGAAAAGGTCTTCAATGGCGGTTCCTTCAGCAAGGAACTCCGGGTTGGAAAGAATCTGGAATTTGATTCCTTTGCTGTTATGTGTAAGAATCTTCTCGATTGCCTCTGCGGTTTTGACAGGCACAGTTGATTTCTCAACAACAATCTTGTCGGAAACCGAAACATCAGCGATCATACGAGCAGCGCTCTCCCAGTAAGTCAAATCCGCAGCTTTGCCAGCTCCAAGACCACGGGTCTTGGTAGGGGTGTTGACAGAGACAAAGACAATGTCAGCCTCCCTGACGTGTTTCTCAACATCGGTGCTGAAGAAAAGGTTCTTGCCACGGCACTGCTTAACCACATCATCAAGACCAGGCTCATAGATCGGGAGCTGATCGCTGTTCCAAGCGTTGATCCTCGGCACAGAGATATCGACAACAGCTACTTCAACAGATGGACACTTTAGAGCAATGACGGCCATGGTTGGACCACCGACATATCCAGCTCCAATGCAACAAATCTTCACCATTTTGCTTGTAAACTGAATTTTCACAGGGGAAAAAAAAAAGGTTCAATATCAAATTTCAGATCTCTCAAAGAGATAAAGTTCAATACATCACACAAGTAAGAATAATATGACTAGCATAAATGTCCATTACAATTCGAATCAGAACTAAAATAACATAAACTTTTATAAAACGAGAATTGTGACTCAACTTGTCAGATCCAGCAATTTAAGCGTTGTATAGACTATGAGCATTCACAAAACAGATTCGGTTTCCAAAAGAACTCAGATCCGGTTTCGTTTGAATTAGAAGATGCACACAGAATACATTTACGTAAACATGAACAGAATATTAAGTGAAGCTACCAATTAGTATCAACCCAGAGATCGAATATTCATGATCATGCCATTTCAAGGCGAAATTCGGAGAACAAAATACACAAACAGCGAGAAATTCAAATAAAAATCTCAGATCTGATACATGCATACGAACCCGGTTCAAGGAAGGGTAAATTCTGCGGATCACCGACACAAATCGAACCAAAATGCAGAAAAATCTCAACTCTCAACGAAATCACAGAATTTTTTTGTGGAAGGAAACACAAAAATTCAAACCCAAATCTATGTTTCAAAAAAAAGAAAAAAACATTTCCAAATAGATCCAAATCGAAACGAGATCGGATCGCGATAATCAACAAAATTGAATCGAGAAAACACGGATTCAAAGAGAGAGAGAGAAGGTGGAATTGATGATACCTAGAGCGAGCTAGAGCTATGTAGGCTTCTCTGGTCTACACAGTATCGAAGAAAATGGAGGTGGATCGCTAAATCTGACGATAGAGAAGAAGAGCGGGGTGAGTAAGGAGTTTATATAGGTGATGATATTCCTAAAATGCCCTTGAAACCGTCAAAGAATAACGCGGTTTAAAAGTTTTGGTTACTTAATTAATTATTCAGCTAATTGAATTATTGAACAAAGAGTAGTTTCAGTTAAAAATTAAATGCAAATGTAAGAAAAACGATGTGGCCTCACAATGTTTGGCAGGTTTATAAAGTCTTAAAGACACGTTAAACATTTGACATAAAACATGAAAAGGATTGGATTTCGACCAACATAAATAGATTTGTCTTGTATATTTATTTTGACTTTTTTTTTAAATGAACTTTTTTCCTATCATTTTTTTGTCAGAATTCAGAAATCTATGTAGGAAACAAAATAAAAACCATTTATTAATTGTCTTTCTTTCCTTAAAGTTTATAGTTTCGACCAGCTATAATGCGCTTCTAAATTTAAAGATGTATTTTTTGAGAAAATTGCCAAAAATATCATTTATTTGGCAAAATCTTCAAAAAATATCATTTTCTCGAAAACCCTTGAAAAATGTCTTGATGCACTGTTCTTTTTTTTTTTTTCTCTCTCTCATGAAGAAGGAAGTGGAGAAAAACAAAGGGAGACAGTGGTAATTGGTGAGATGGAGACGGTAGTGGTCAAAGACAGCAACGGTTGTGAACAAAAACGGTATCGGCGGTTGTGGACAAAAACGGAGACGGAGGCAGAAACAGCGGTGGACAAAATAGAGACGGCGGTTGTGGACAAAAGCAATTGTGAACAAAACCGGTGGCGGAGATGGCAGTTGTGGACAAAATAGAGACGGATACGGTGGTGAACAAAAATGAAGTCGGTCGGTGTTGATGGAGATAGTGGTGGATAATGACGGAGACGGTGGACAAAGACGATAACATCGTGGACGAAAATATATACCATAAAATGTATTTTTCATATTTTTAAAAGTGAATTGTGGCAGATTTAGGTTGAAGAGAAAATGACATTATTAAATTTTTTTTTTAAAATAAATGGCATTTTTTGCAAAAAATCATTTTTTC